GGATTCACATTAAGTCGAAGCAAGACTGAGTATCTGAAGTGTGAGTTTTCTCTGGTACGAGATGAGGACCAAGAACCTGTGCATCTAAATGGTCAAGAGGTACCCAAAAATATGCTTTTAAATACTTGGGCTCCATTTTACAAAACGGTGGAGAGATTGATGAGGATGTAAATCACAGAATCAGAGCAGGGTGGATGAAATGGCGTAGTGCATCTGTATTTTTGTGTGACCGCAAAATTCCCCTGAAGTTAAAAGGAAAATTCTATAAAACAGCAGTAAGACCGGCAATGCTATATGGAGCGGAATGCTGGCCAGCACATAGGCAACATGAGCATAAGATGGGAGTAGCAGAGATGAGGATGTTAAGGTGGATGTGTGGTTACACAAGGATGGATAAGATAAGAAATGAAGATATTCGACGAAAGGTCGGAGTAGTATCGGTAGCCGAGAAGATGAGAGAACATAGATTGAGGTGGTTTGGGCACGTGATGAGAAGACCCATGGATGCTCCTGTAAGATCAGAAGTTTGTTACCAAGAGCTCAACACAAAAAGAGGCAGAGGTAGGCCGAAGCTTACTTGGGGGAAAGTAGTAAAACAAGATTTAATGGAGTGGGATATAGATTGGCGGACAGTATGTCTTAGAACGGAATGGAGAAAAGCTATAAGTATGGTGGAGGGTTAGACCCGCTGTTATTGCTATGTTCCAGATGGTCCCTTTTTAGTCCTTTTCCCCTTCATTTCCCCCACTTCTTCTTGTCCCTTTCTTTTTTACTTTTATTTATTTATATATACATATATTGTTATTTTATTTTATCTTATTTTATATTTTTATTTTATTTGTTTATTTTTATTTATTTATTTTTTGCTTTTTTACTTTTTTTACTTTTTTAATTTTTTTAAACTTTTTTTCAACCGTTTTGTATCTTTCATGTGGGTTCATCTACCACCGACCCCAATTAATTTGGGATAAAGGTGTTGTTGATGTTGATGTTGATGTTGATATATTTCTGTTGTAGTTTGTTATTCTCTTAGCACAGGTGTGATGGTGTGCATTCTGTTAGCACGTGTGTGTATTTTGTTAGTGGTGTCACTCTTGATATTTTTTGTTAGTGTCTTTTTGCTAATATAATTAGTCTCTTTGTGCTTTCTTCTCAATCAATGAAAATATAAATATTCAGTTTCATTTTTATGGTTATGCTTCTCTGTAACTAATAGCTTCAAAATTTGATTACACTCCAGTCGTCTAATATTTCCTCTGATGCGATATCATATTAAACATTTAAACATTAAATGATACTTAATTGATCGAATCAATAATAAGTATTAAAAGGTAAAAGAGTGAAAATAAAGAATATTGATTTCATTGATTGGGTAATTCATTTGTACACATGATATAGAAGAGCATAACTAGAAAAGAGAAAGATCTAGAATATCTCAATTAAAATAAAATAAAATATTTATATCTCTAATACTCCCCCTCAAGATGGAGGGTGAATAAGAAGAAAGAAAATAAAAGCTTCACGGATGTTCCGAAAAATTCGGTAGCACAGCAAATCAACTGAAAATCATCAGTGTGAAGAGCTGGTAAAGAGACAGTGCTGGAATGAACATCAGCTATGGAAGGAAGGGCTGAGATGGACATCAGCCAGCAAATATAAACGGTGTCGGGATGGACATCGACAAAATCAAATGTTCTGAAATGAACATCAGCAACATGAACAATGCTCCCCCTGAATAGAAAGGCAAAACAAGTTTTGCGAAAAGTTTTTCCAATGAAAAACTTTTTTTTTATAATGAATAAAAAAGTCAAAAGCTCCTAGAAGTAGCTTTTTTTAAGCTTTTATCAATTTTTCTTGAATTGTGTGCTTTTTTTGAAATTAAGAGACATAAAGATAGAGAGAGACTATTCTTGAAATATGTGCTTTCAAGCTAAAATTTATACGTAATCACCAAACAATTTTTAACTTTTTTTAAGCTCTTTTTTTTAGTTTTAGCTTAAATGTAGCTTTTAATTTAAAAAAGAGAGTACTCAAACAAGTTTATAAAATACAAAAGATCACATATATGTATGAAATTGAATGTGTAGATTTGCTTTTTAGATAAACAATAGATATAATGTTCTACCAACACCGATACGGGACACGAGATATGAAACGACACGACACTCCGACACGTCAATTCTAAAAAATATTAGATTTTGACACGTTAGAAAACGTATTGATATTAAATAATATTTTTAATTTATGTAGTGTATATTTTATTCAATAATTTAACAAAAAAATGAAGCAAAACTTATAATACCAATCAATTTTGCAAAAAAACATAAGATATCCTAAATATTTATATTAAATTCAATAAAATAGTAATCATAATCCAACGAAGCTAATAATTGGAACTAAAAATGCATCACAACATTTGAATCCTTTTTTGAGTCTCTGCAATGCGTGTTGGAGTATCGGAGAGTGTCGAAAAGTGTCGGACACGACACGTCAAGATTTTTGAAGTATCAGTGCTTCATATATACTTTACGGGGCTGAAATGTGGAGACTTTCTAAATGGCCAATGATATACCATACAAGCTATATTAATAAGTTAACAATTTTTTTTTTCAAGTTTGTAGGCATTTGAACAAATTTCCTTTTTTCAAATATAATTTTTACTAACAGAAAAAGAAAAGATCAAGTGATAGAAAACTTGAAAAGTTACAAAGCTGTGAAATACTAACAATATACTATTTAACATTGCTTTTTCCACACAGGTAAATTCTCATGTTGGTCATATTTATAGAGAGTTGTCCTAAATAAATTACTGGGACTAGGATATGATTTTACTCAATAATAAAGGAAGTGTTAGACCAGACCAAAAAAGAAAGAAAGTGTTAGATAGTGTGTTGTTAGCATTTTTTTTATTTTATAAATAATAGTTAATAGGAAAAATAATAACTTTGTAAAATCATTGAGTTACATTAAATTTGTATTCGAAAAATTAGTTGCACAAATCTAAAGATGATGTAATAATACACAATAGATTAATTATATGTATCTTAATGCAAAACAACCTCATAGGTCAGAAACAGCCATAGAGCTTGTGATTAAACTAATTAACGACGGCGGCCACTTGATTTTGAAGGCGGTGTTCAAATCGATTGGATAGAACTAGCGAACACACCATCGTGAGTCTTGACCATGGATTAAAGCAAATCTAAAACGATATTCTCGGGCCTGTTTGCAAATAATCGTGGGGCTGCTCATACCTATTGTTTTAGGGTCATAATGATCGAGACCTAGAGAAATATCCTTTTTAATAAATTCTTTAAAGAAACTTAGCTCTCCTATCTTACTTTTCTCATTATCTTACATTTAATCCACTTCTTAAATTACCAAATCACGTAAAGTTTTGTATTATTCACATGAATAATATCGTTTTTTTTTTCATTTACAATAAGAAGATTTATCTGGATAAAATACAGGCCAACCAAAGGATTAAAATCCAAAGATTAAAGCTCAAACACATAAGATCTGAACAATGCGCGATATCCACATCGCGCATCATTGAACGTGATGGCTTCATCGCGCCCAAACCGCCTTAAACATGACTTCAGAGTTAAGGAAGTGATCAATAATACGAATAAAGAGCCACTGCGTCATGGAAACCAATACACAAAAGACAGATTCAACTTGCCATCACTCTACCCAGATAGCTTGGCACAATAGTGATAAGGCCAGAAAGGTACCAGCTGAACCTGCAGCCCATAAACAGTCAATCAGAAGACATACTGTCTACCAAAGGCGACATCAGATTCACTATATAAACAAAGGGAACATACCCAGATATGATAAACTAATTAAGTAAGAATATCACATAAGCCTGACTTTGATACTCACTTGAGCATCAGAGTGTCAGTGCAGGTACCCACCCCAGTCAGGCTCATCGCGCCAAAGTAGAATCATATCCATCTCACTACAAACAGCCAACAACAATCCAAGAAGCAGATAATCCAACTCAAGTCTTCTCTCATCAACTGTGTATGATTGGGCCCGATACACATTGACCAGCCCATATTGTATTGGTCCGATTATAGTTACTGAAAGATGTGTTGAGATATATAAAATCATAAATGTAACCTTACCCAACAACTTAATCTTTTGAGTTGAATTGGTTCTTTACATGGTATCAGAGCCTCGTGTCCCGGGTTCGATCCTAGCCGCCTCCCACTTTCTTTCAGGTGGAATTTCTTTGTTCGCACAAGTAGGTGGGCCTGTGCATTATCCACTCTTCAAGCTCAGTGGGCTCTCGTGTGAGGGGACGTGTTAAGATATATAAAATTATTAATGTAACTTCACCCAACAGCTTTAGCTTTTAGGTTGAATTGGTTCTTTACAAGATGAATGGTATGTTTGAATTTTATTTTCAAAAAGGTTTCTTAATTTTTAGAACAAAAAAATTAAAAAAAAACATGTTTAATAATGCTTATTTTGTAAAAATAATTAAAATTATAACTACTTTTAATTTTTAGAATCAAATTTTAAAACATATTGAGTTATTTTTCTTTTGTATTTTTACTTTTAACTTTCAAAATAAAATAAAAAACACGAAAAATAACTATTTCATTAACAATTCTACGAAATAACTTAAAAAAATAATAATCAGAACACAAGTTTCTTGAACGTTATGATAAGTCTAACGTGGGTAATTCATGTTTTGAATGATATTCGTTTCGCGAGTGATTTCGGTATGAGTAATTCTTAGCTTTAATCATATCCTGAGTCCTGACTTTGAATGAATTCTATTTTTTGTTTAACCAATTGACCTAATTGGCGAAGCAAACTGAATCAATCACGTTTGGTCATTTTGGATTTGTTTTTCTTCCCCAAACCGAACTTATCTGACCAGTGAACGCTCTAGTAGTTGCCCAAGTGCAAAGAAAATATATGAAATATAAATTACATTTAAATTTTGAAAGCCGGCAACTTAGAGTCAATATGTCCATCCCATTCGCTAGTATGTTATCCAACTAGTAATAGCAACAAATTGGAAAGAAAAAGTGATTCCTTCTGCTACACAACAATAAATATAAAAAAAAAAAAAAAAAAAACACGTATATCACCTAAAAAAAGTCTCCAAAGCTACGCTGCTTCTCATGCAGTGTTTGTAATTGGTTCTTTACAGTAATCATCAATGCAGGTTTGGTTAGTAAGAGAAGTATGTCACCTCCAATATTATATACTCTTCCTTTAATATTTAAAGAACTCATATGGACAATCATAACGTCCACTGGCTGTCCGGTTGCCATTCTTTCACCTTGTTTGCTTAAAGCTTGCAGGTATTTTCTGGAAGACAAACAAATTCACCAAGGTAGATTAGAAAACCTATACACTCCCAAATGAAACAAGAAGAGAAAAATGGAAACACATGAAAATATAGACCATAATGTCAAATGCATTAGAAAGTATAAAACTACACAAGTTTCCTACCAAAGATTTCTTTCTTCCTCTTCTTTTTTTTTTTAGGGGGGGGAATACAGTTTCTTACCAAAGATTGTACATAATATCTTACTCTTGCAATTCATTAGCCTATGACAGGCTAGCTCTTCTTGTTAACAGTAAAACTTGACACGATTCTTCATAAATCATAGGCATAAAGGAGACAACAGAATCAACTGGACCTAATCTGAACCTGCTATGGTGTCAATTTATGAATCAGCTTTATCTTTCTTCCTAGAGGGAGAGGTTTAACGCCAATTTTTTTTTTTTTTTTTAAATTATAGTAGAAGAAAAACTCATGTTCTCACTCCTGGAATAAACCACTCCTCGTTAAACCCAACTCGCAAAGGTAGGGGTGAGATTGTTTCCCGGTTTCAAAAAATCATAATCTTACTTCCAAGTTCCAACTCATCATTTAACAATAATGTCAAACTAATTCCAACAAGATCTCTGTTTTACTTAGAAACTAATTTCACTTCTAGGGTTTCCATAGTAATCTAGAAGTAGGAAGAACATTGAGCCACATTCACATCCAGCTTAGATCTTAGTCAAATTTCATATTTCCATGAATATCGATTCCCCATTTTTGATTTTCCAAATACAATGGAAGGTAAATTGACTGAACCCGACTGATTCAGTAGTAACCAGCAAAAATATGCACATCAATAAAAGCTATTAGGAGATATTGTTAATATTGATGTATATCATGTTGTAACCTGGAAATATTTGACTTTCAAATACGCAGTGGATAAGTTTTGATAGGATTCTCTCGGTTTGTTTTTAGTTTGTTTATCCTTGTTTAGATATGACTCTTCTCTCTAACAAACTCGCGTCTATTTATTGGACGCTCCATTATCAATGCAAAGCAACCTCCTTTGCCACAAGCTTAATAAAAGCACTTGGGAGAAAGGCAGAAAGCAATGTCAATTGGGTTTTATATATTCCTCTTATTTAGACAATTTTGCTTCTCCAGCATTTCAAGACCTAAATATCTTTACCTGAAGAAAAGTATAATCATGCTTTGTGATATCTGTTCCCCAACTCATATCATTAGTTCATAATTGTTCAAAAATAATTCTTAGGTACGTAGTGAATGCACAGCAATTTCAAAGATTTCAGAAAGCATACTGCAAGATATCTTGTCTTGGTGTAATTTGAACCATAACAGTATTTATAAATCAACAAGTTGAACAATTATTCTTTTTCCTGATCTACAAGGCCAGTATGTCTGATGTTTGTCACTTTGTAGTAAAAAAATGTCCCACAAATACATCCTTAAACTTAACGAAGATTAAAAACGCCAGAAAGAGATTAAACGTACCTTGGCTCTGAAAGATTTGATGACCCCAACCAGCAATTTGTCTCCTGCTATTAGTCTCACTTTTTGTATCAGTTCATGTCGGGATATCTTCTTCTCCTGTTAAACAGAGGAAGCTCAATAACGATTTCAGCTAAACTAAAAATAAGCTAATGCATCAAACCCCATAAGCAAGTCAGAAGCACTTACTCTATAATCTTTCTGAAACTTGGAAATGAGGGCAATATCACGCTGAGGCAAAATCTTGGAAAGCACGGACATTAGAGTCGGGAATGGCATCCAAGGAGAAGATGGTCTCAAAGGTTTCTCGATCTCCACATCCCCTACAGAATTTAACACAAGCAGAATTTAAAAAATGACATCATGATAAGCAAAATTAGCAAATAAAACCCGCAGATGAACATGAACATGTCCAAAGTCCAAACCTTTGAAGGAAGGAAGCCTGAAACTCAAGACATACTCGGGCAAGACATGAGTGTTGATCCTGTTACTCCAAATAATATACTCCTTGGGAGCTGAAACACTGTCCACGCCAGAATCATACTCTTCAGAACTCGGATGGCATTGCTGGGAACCACGAGGCACAAGCTCCGTCCTCCCCAAGATAACCCGACACAGCAACAAATGCCTCAAGCCCTCTTTGTCAACAACAGAGCTCTTTACACTGCCCCCCACAAAACAAACACAAGAAAATAATTTCACAAACTCATAAAACAACAGTAAAAAAATTAAATTAAATTCAAAATTAAAAATGATACCTTTCAAGTGGAGAATTATCTGGAGAGAGACGGAGTCTGTTATTATTCAAAGGACCAAAACCGTGTTGAATGATGTCGGCTATCTCTTCCGTACCCGAAGCACCGTACCAAGCATGTTTCACATTCGCATTCCCATCGCGCAATCTTGCCACCGCACGCGCGAATATTTGAAATGACTGAACACGCGCTTGGGCCATGACGGTAGAACAAGCATTCTTGTGAATCGCGACCACCTCGGTTTTCAACCCGAGCGACCCCAAGCCCCGAACGAATCTGCGCCTAATGAGGTCCGTTTCACCACCTTCGTCCAGCCTAACAAACCTTTCTTCAAACACGTGGCGGTCCACCGCCTCACCGCCGGAAACACAACTCTCACAATCGGAAACAATCGATTCCGACAATCTCTCCGACGAATCGTAAATAATCGCTCGCTCCATAATGGCAAACCGACTTTTATTGAGGGAAAAAGAAAAAGAAAATAAAATAAAAAGAATGAAAGAATTCGGAGAGACGAAAAGAACTAAGGACGAGAGAATTAGTGCAAGTTCATTTAACAGAAACAGAAACAGAAAACTTGGGGTGAAAGAAAAGGGAGGGAGGGTTTTAAGGGATGCGAAGCGTTTTAAGGGAAACGGGAACCGCCGTAGGAAGAGAAATAGGAATGAATTTGTGAGAGGCGGTTGAGGAAATGGTAGGCGCTAAGCAACAACGGATTTGAATTGAACAACCCTATTGTCATGTACTGGTGAAAATTACGTTTTTGTTCATTTGGGAACAGACGTGGAGCCTTGGGCGATAAGGCAAAGCGTCAAACTTTGCAACGATTTTTAATTACTTGTGCCGCACAGGTTCCTATTTTTAATTATATTTATATCTCATGTGCGTCGGTTTTTAATTGTGGCATGCCAATTGGGTGTCAATGCGTTTTCTCATCTGTGATACCATTTATGGAAATATCTACATATTCTATTGGAGCCCCTTTTTTTTGTTTTCTTGTCCCTGTTAAAACCATGTTCGCCGTGCCTGATGATTTGAAAGCTGTTTTTTTTTTTTTTTATTATAATTTAATATTTTAAATCAATTTCTTTAAGCGTATTTAAATCTCTTAAATGATATTTGGTGTATAGTGTAGGATAAAGCATAGTATATAAAGTTTGATTGTATAAGGCCTGATAATATAAGGTCTGGTTGTATAAGACATGATTCAATTTTAATACTAGCCAGCATTTGGCATAGTATTTTATAAAATAATATGTTGTATAAGATAATATCATCTAGTATTTGATAATGCACTGTATAATACTAAATGAGATAAAAAAAATATTTTTAATAAAAATATCCTTTAATAAAGAATTTATATAATTCTTAAAAAATGTCATATGATATTAATTTTTATAAAAAATTATTGATCACTGTATCCAAAAAAATAAATAAATAAAAATAAAAATAAGAATATCTAATATTTTAAAAATTAATATATTAAAAAATTAATTTTTATTTTAATATTTAGTATTAAAATAATATATTAATTCTTGAGAATTGTACTAGTCAACGATGTTAATACATCAACCCTTATCAAGCTTAATCTCTCTCCCTTAGGCCAGATTAAGTTATACATTATTTTAATGTATTAAAGTATTCTCTTATATAAGCTTATATTATATTTTGGTTACATCAAATAACTAAAAATGTCATAATGTATAATATAAACTTAATATCAGGCCTTATACGTCACACCCCGTTCTATATTTTATAAGCAATGATACGTGTTATTTTTATATTTTTTTAAAAATTATGTATACCATTATATATATATATATATATATATATATCCATATAATGTAACTGAAAGCTATCAATGATAAATAATTTTGCGATCCCTATCATGAAGTATGACTTATGTATTACAAGTTAATAGTTATAAAAATGATAATTTTTTTTTTTTGAATTACACTTAGAAAATTGTAAATTGCAAAAATATAATCACAATAAAATAATAATAATTTATAGAGTACTTTTTTATAAATAAAAAATGATTCGGTACAACAGCAAAAAATAAAAAAAGATTGATTAGTATAAATTTGTAAAGAAAAAATCATGTATATTTTAGTAAACACACATTAGCAGCTACTAATTTTTAGGGGAAGCAAAAGAAAACAAACTCTAATATGGTACGTGGACATGAGTTTTGATGTCGTGTCTAAACGGAAAGATGGAGCGAGGAAAATTAAGGGCTATAGTCCTCTTTCACTTTTAAAAAAATCACAATTGATATTGTACGTGCGATAAGTTATTTTTATATCTATTTTACCTATCACTCTTTCAAATTTAAAGGTTCGCTTTGAATTTGATATTTTAGATTTATGATTTTGGTTAGACGTAAAAATGTTAGCTTGAATTCTTCAGTTTACCGTCTAACGTTCATGAAGTTCTGTTTGGAGCATCTGATAAAGAATATAGGATAGAATAACTTATCATATCTTACTTTTTTCTCTTGTTTGGTGGGTCAATAGAATATGATTAGCTTATCCTATAATCTTATTTTATTCTATCCATGATTTCTTATCTTACGAGGGGAGTTGGGTTAGGATTCAATAGGATAGGATATCAATATTGGATACCCAATATATCCCCGCGCTACCCAATGTATTCTTACACTACCCAATATATTTGTATTTATTGTATTATATTTTGTTTTTTGTTTTTTTTTTTTCTCTTTTTACATAATCTTATCATATTGGCAATCAGGTGTTCATCAAACACAGAACATGATATCAGCTTATCAGCCTCATATCATATCCTACTCTTATTAGCCCCATATCATATCCTACCCTTATCCTATCATGTTCATGAAACGAATTGTCTCGAGGAGGAGCAATAGGATAAGTTACGGAATTTTTACTTCGTAGCCGTGACATAAGAAAGAAAGACTTTGAAGTAAAATCAAGGCAGATTGAAATGACTTAAGGGAGCGTTTGGTACGAGAGAAATTTTTTTTTATCCAGGAAATAATTATTACTGAAATGTAGTGAGAAATATATTTTACTGGAATGTTAATAAAAAGTTGTTTGGTAGACTCATATTTTCTCAGGAAAATTAAGTTAATTTTACTGAGTTTGTGTTTGGTTGGTTATGAAATATTAGTGGGAATGTGGGGTTATTTTACCAAAATAACCCCCCACATTTTATCATTTGTCCGTACTTCCTCCATGAATGATTATCATCGGTGGTGTGGGAGAGTATGGTTCTTGTCTGTGCACCTTTCCTGCGCGCACAACAACAATTTTGGAGAGGAAGTGAACTAAAAATATGTAACTGAAGTAAAACAGAAGATTCATCAGAAAAGAGGATAAATAAAAGATAACCTTCTTTGATAGCAACCTCTCCTTTTATTTCTGTATTGTTCCTTCGTTGTCAGTTACGAGCACAGAGAACGGAGGGACCAATCGCAGAACCACAACTCACAAACTCCATTTGTTCATACATAGTACACTCCACCATCTATGAGGTCAATTCTCTCTTAACCATTTATTCACAGATCGTACAATCAAGAAGGATATTGTGGTCCATTTTTTCGTGCTTCATTTTTTTCTTCCCCGGGCAACAACCAATCCCACACTATCGATGGACAACCAGAGTTGCTGATCGTACAGAATTTGTCACATAAAAACAAAAAGTCAGATAATATTTTACCCAGGAAACTTGACACTTTTTCGGTGCCAAACATGACTTTTCTCCATTCCCAATGTTGTTTTTCTTGGAATCCAAATAAAATCAGCGTACCAAACGCCCCCTAATAGTCATACGCTTGGGTTTTAGTGTCTTCTTAGAACAAGACCTTAAGGGGTGTTTGGTAGGAAGAAAAAAAAAATTGCCCAGGATTTTTCTGAAGTTGCCCAGTCAACTGAGTGTGGGAACAAAAAATTTACCCATGTAACTTGGTTGCCCCGTCAAACAGATGCAAGAAAGCAACAAATGTACTGTGCAATTTGACCACTTCACATGGTATTTTCATAAAACCAGATAAATAGCAAAAAGTAGATGAACATTGTGACAATACTACTCAATTTTCGTAGTGATATTTTAGTTAACCAAACAACTTTTTTTAATTTTTTTTACCAAATTTACTTTTTCACTTTTTTCCTAGTAATTACATTTCTTTAGTTAAATTTTTTTTTTCCTCTACCAAACGCCCCCTTAAATCTATTAAGCGAAGTTACCAACCATAAAAATGCAAGGCCTTGAGGCAAGGAAGAAATATTGTGTTAACTAGCTTGTTTTTGTTTTTTTTTTTAAGCATTTCTTTATCTTGTATGCTATTCTTTCACTTGTTTCTCTCTCTTTCATAATAAGTTTTTCTTTACTATATAAAAAAAAGGATTTTATATATGTCATATTATAAAAAACTTGTAGTGTCATATCACTTTAATACATTTGATGTGAGTCCCACTCAAAAAGAAAGAAGATAAAAAAAAAAAAACAAAGTGAGGCCATTACTTTTTGTGAGAGTAACATGATATTACAAATTTCCTAGAGCATGCTATATATAAAAGGGAAAAGTGTGTATAATTTTGAAGGATGTAAAGTTGTGTCATTTTAAGAGAGAGAAAGAGATAGATAAAGGAGGAGAGAGAGTTGACAAAAAAAATAAAGTTGTGGGTCCCACCTCTTTGTGAGAGTGAAATGATGTAAGTTGTGTAATTTAGATGTATAGACACTTTTCCCTATATAAAATCCTAAAAAAAAATACAATGAATGTGATTGCTTGTTTTATTTGATTAAGTATAGCTTACTTGTCTTGACGTAATGCCTAACATGTGAGATTCGAAGGATTTTGACAAATTTATCAAGAGTCCCCCCTCTTTTTAGACTTTCATTCTTTGAGTTAGGTATTTAGTTGCTTAATGTGACCTAAGAGCATATGCCCTTTTGCTATCTAAAAATTACAGTAGTGGATTGTCCAAAATCTAATCCAAACAAAGCACATATTAACTAGTAGGAGTGTTAATTTGGGTTTGATGTATTTAGCCCTATAATTTCTTCAAGCCAGACCCAAAATTTTATATGTCTGTTTTGTTTGAGTTGGTGTACTGGAAAAAGTTAGTGCAAATAGATCAACACATTTAGCTTGCAATGAACTTTTAAGACCCGCCATCGATTTTTTGGCTGGACCGATGAGGACGTAGGCCCAAATGGACCAGCCCTTAATAATTTTATTGAATCCCAAATTTTAATAGGATAATACATAATACTATTCACATTGCACATAATACTCATTAGTATAAACTATTTAATGCTATGAAAATTAATATTAATTTATCAATAAATTTTTTTTATATTATTATACATTGTAATACTTCAGAACTTTTCCACACAGATTTACATGTAATTAAGCGAATCTTCATATTCGTTAAATTTCTTTCTGTTACTTGAAATATTCTTTATATAATATAATTAATTATCCATTCTCATTTTGTCTGTATATACC